GGGGCTAGACCGCGCGCTGTGCACGCTCTGTGTGCTGCCTGCGGGGCGTGAGGCTGCATGCTCGGCACGCGCCGCGCGCTGACCATAGGGTGTGCGGCGCCCTGCACGGGTGGCGAGAAAGGCCTGCGTTGCTGCCGGACGCGCGGTCCGTGAAGCTCTTTGTGTTGTTCTGCGACACGAGCAGTCGCCAGCGCCAACCAGCCGCCTGCGCATGCCGTTGGGTGCCTGTGCGCAAGCAAACGGTCCCTCCCTCCCTCCGCGAAAACTATCCAAGTCCCCTGTGTCCCTTTTTAACATCCCACCGCTCAAGTCTTCAACCCCCCCCCCCTCACCCCCACCCCTCACAACCCACGACCCACAGCTGCTGCTGTCGGCCGGCCTGGACGATGCGTCCCGCATGCTGGGCCACATGCGGCGGGAGCTCGCCACGGCGGCTGCCGCAGCCGACCCCCACGCCACCTTCACGCGGCACGCAATGGACAGGTGTGCGTTGAGACTTGCCCTCACTTCATTCAGCATTGGTGCTATCCCGCCCTCACACACCGCTGCGGCCTGGTCAATGCTTGGATCGATCGCTCAGCAACAGACATGTGCGTTGCGCCGCACGTGCGTGTGCCCCTGTGCACAGCCCTGCACGCCACTCTTTGAAAGGCACGCCACCCTGTGAGCCCGCCGCCGGGACCCACTCCGCCGCCCAAACGCCACCGCTCTGCTTTCCGCTCCTTGCTTCTGCTGTGCTCTCCTCTGCACTCTGCGCTGTGCTGCACTCTGCTCTGCTTCGCCCTGCGTTGCTTCGTTCTGCTTTGCTCCGCACTCCTCCGCTTCACATCACGCCCCCCTCAACCTCTCCCCCCTCCCCCAGGCTGCGCTCAGAGGGCCGCGTGCGGGAGCTGCTGCAGCTGGGCCGCAAGGGCTTCGCCCCGCAGCTTCTGTCCTACCTGGCGGCACACCCCCACCTGCTGTGGCTCGCGCAGGCGGGCGCCGGCCGCTGGGGCGACGCGGCGGGCGCGCTGCTGGCCGCGGCACAGTCGGTGCAGGTGCGGGCGGGGCGGGGCAGCGCGCCGCCGGCTGACTCACGCCTGGTCAAGTACAGCCCAGGCTATGCCATCTGCTGCGGGCTGCAGCATTCTGTGATGCTTGCCGCCCACGATTGACGAAACCCAAGCGGCATTCGTCCATTGACTGGGTGTTGTACACGGGAACGCAGGCAGCGCCTTTGTATCACCCACAACCCCTGCCTCTTTCCCCGCCCCCAACACCGCGGCCCCAGGACTCCTGCGCAGAGCGGCGGCGCATGATGGCCCTGGCGAAGCTCGCCGCCCACGCCGCCTCGCCCGCGCCCGACGCCTTCGACGCCCGCAACCCGCGCCGCGCGCACGCGCACGCGCGGCGCGCGCCCGCAGCGGCTGCGTCCGACCGGCGGCGGCCGCGGCGGGCGGACGACGAC